GCTTTGAGATGTTAGAACAAAACAAAACTAAGAACTTCTGTGAGCTAAAAGCAAGCATTAGCATACCTTTTCTTTTACTTCTCATTATATGCATTACAGCATTAAAGTCTTTAAATGCAATTTCCTTACTCATATTTTCCATTAATTTACTAGAGTTTGCTAATGGTACCAACACATTTTCTTCTCATCTCAAAGACAACCTTGCCTGCAGGAACTGTAGCCTCACTGAAAGTTGTTGCAGCAAAAGTACCTCAGGTGGATGTGTTAGAGGTCCTATGGCACCAAGGGCACAGCATGAGGCACACCAACACACAGAGAAAGAGGAGAGAAATATGTACCAGCCTATTCAGGTGTTTTAACAAAAAAAAGGGGAAGCTTGCAATGAAAATCTCAGTGCTCTTGTGGAATGTCTGACTAGACTTAAATGCCTAAGTTTATGAGGTAATTACCAAATCCAAAGTGAGACATTTATACAACTTTAAAAGTATGAACCTGAAGAAAACTCTTACACAACCCCTTTAGAGCTTTGCCATTCGTAAGTATAGCATTACCATTTACCAAAGCTCCTTAAGTCCTTCCAAGTTCTGGCAGTGCCTATTGATGTGGCATCGCTTCTTGGTTATGCTGGGAACCTTGGTGTTCCTGCCCCAGTAGTCAAAAGGCATCACAAAATCCCTAGGATGTATGTGACAAACATCCTGGCAAACCTTTCAAGTACTCTAGGTATTGGAAAGCAGAAGATGCATTTCAATTGAAATACCCATTTTCTTACTGTTTATAAATACAAAGCAGGTCTTCACATGTTTTAAAGAAAAGTCTTGTGCAAGTAAAATAGCTTTTTTCTGTGTGAAGAAGCTCCTACTATAACCCAAAGAACCTTTGTCTTCTATGCCCTAACTAAAAATCAAATCTTCAGAAATTTTCTTTTAAGCAACACTGGGCAGCACTGTAGTCTTGTATTTGAAAATGTGCATCTTCCTAAGAGTTGAACTTCACACCGTGCCAATTTCGACGAGACACACCCCAGCACAGAATGCACCAACATTATGCTGCATTTGTCAGAAACTGGGTTGTATGCTATAAATTTAAAATTGGAAGAAGCTAACTAGTGGAAAACTGGTCCAGACCTTGGCTTCATGATTCACCCAAAGGATGTCATCAAGAGTGTACAATTTCATGGTCCCATAAATTGCTTCCAAAATAGCAAAGGAGTGCTACCTGAATGTTTCAGTAATCTCACCTATGTCTGGACCTAAGTAATAGGAAGATAAAATAATAACCACAAATAGACAACACGAACACAAAATAGTCCACATTTTTATTGCAGTAAAGAAATTATACCCAATCTTAGAAGAAACAAGATTCATATACAGTGTCTGGCCAAAAAAACCCCACATATACAGCTCAAGAAAATAACATATTACAAAAAAATACTTTTAGAAAAAAACAAACCACTTTTCAAATGTTATCTCTCTTGAAAATTCAGAATCTATTTTCATGCTTAAGTTTTCTACAAAGGGTGAAGTAATCAAAACTAACTGTATTCTGGAGGATAATGAAGTACACCTGCAGAATTAGGCAGCAGTTAAGGCTGACAGTCTCCATTGCTGCTTTACACAAGGTTGTATCAATTCTGCCAAGAACCACTTATCTTCTGTGTACAATGTAGCACTATAATCCCGTAAAGCTCCAAAAAAGGGCACTCCATGCTGACTTGCATAACCATCTTTTCAACTTTTTCACAAATCATCTCCTTATAGCAGTGTCTTCGGTCAAGATGGTTGTTCAAAGTTGAGCTGTTGCCTGGAAGTTTCCCAGAGCATACATATAACAACATATATATACACTACTTGTGTTGATGCATCTCTTATTTCTTGTCTAAGATGAGCACACTTGATTACCATCAGTGGACTTGATCCCATAAGACAGTAACAATCTACACCTTGTGTAAGTTTACAGACTCCGCAAAAGGCTGAGTGAACTCACATGATCCACTTTTCAAAGTTACAGATTTTCACATCGAATGGCACCAGTCTCTTGTCATATCATTGCTAACTGCCTTGAACCCAGTTTTACCCCAGAAGGTCCTAATTCACTTGACTATTTTTTATGTTAGATACAAAAGTTTTGAACAAGTCCGAACCAAAACACATCTATTCACTTTTAACAATCTTTTCACTGAAGACCAAAACTTTTTTTTGGTCAGAGACTGTTAAGAAATATCTCAGAAACACTGTGTTGATATGTCACCTAGGACAGCAGATCTAATGTAAGAGCTAAATCTGAGAATTTGGGAAACAGGAGGATGGGTCAATGCTGTTCAATATGGAAAAAGTCTATCCAGCTGCAGCCTCTGTTGGGAAAGGCTCATGTAGAGCAGAGCTTGTGTTTTTGCATCTTCTTACCCTCTCAGGCATGAGAGAATAAGTTACATTGAGGACAGTATCTAGAAAACTAAACAGATGAAGGAACGGAGCTCTGGAGAAAAGGCCCTGAGGCCTTTAGATGTAACAGGGACAGAAGAATGATGGGTGACAGCAAAGGTCAGCTCACCTACCCTGGACTGGGCCGACAGCTTGACCTAGTGAGGGAAGCTGGAGCTGTTCTAAAATTGCAGTGGGACTCTGTGGCCATTAGGACTGTATTCTATGGAAATGCAAGTAAGTCAGTGCTATGGCCTTGTGTGGAGAAAGGGCTCAATTATCTTTTTATCAGCAAAAAGTGTGATGGTGAATTAAAAAAGAAATTAATCTTAGAACTGCAAAATTACATTAATTTATTTGTACATACTAGAAACGCTTATTTCAGAATGTGTCTACACAACACAGATACCCAGAAAAACTTTCTTCTCACTTTAAGAAGGATCATTCGCATTCATAAGGACTCAGGATGTCCTGCTGGCCTTTTAGCAGCATGCTTTTAGCCAAAAATTCCATAATGATCCAGGCTGCTCTTTCCCACTGAGGCAAAAGCAAGTGTAACAATTGTGTCCATTTGCACTGACATGAAACAACCTGACTCAAGTGGCTCTTCAAAAGGCATTACCATCACCTAACTTTACTGCTATTAAGATTAAAAAGTAGATTAATCTTATTTTTCAAACAGTTTAGTGTAAATTAAGACATGGAAAAAATCACAATGTTAGAAACTGCAGTCTTCTAGTAAATTCTTCATGAACAACTTTAAACAAAGATTTTAATGGAAAATTAACCAAAGCAAACTCTATTAGGTCTTTCTCATTAGATATAGTTTTATAGAAAACTATCATATTCCTTGCAAGAAAACCAAACATAATTTTCTGACTTCTAATCTAAGAAAATTGACTTGTCCTTTACTTACTTCCAATCACAATATTATAAATATTTTTAAAACTCTTTCCAATGGAAGAAAATTTCTGGTCTGAGACACTGCTTCCATGCAAAAATAATTAATCTCTAATATGAAATTAACCCTCTTATCCCCAGAAATCTAAATCCAAAATTTCTCTATTCAGCTCATCCCATATTTGCAGTTCAATTAATTGTCCAAGCAAAAAAGTTGGCAACTTCAAACTGACTGGCAAAGCTGCAATTGATGGGTCCAGTGACTGAATGGCATATACCAGACCTCTGTGGATTGCAAATTATTTATTACAAATTGAATTTCAATTTTCTATAAGACAAACAATCTGGAATACATGACCTAGAATTTGTATATAAAATATTCTGTATTTTTTTTAAGCTTCAGATTTGAAGTTACTGAACATCTATTTTAGCCCCTGTGGAGTCTGGAGGGAAGAGTCATTGCTTCACTGATTTGTAGTTCTGGAGAGGAAAAAAAAAGCAAAATACTAAAAACTATGATTAGCATGCAGGATAAGAGAGTCATAGAAATGGAAACAAAAATATTTAATCAGCACTGGAAGTAGGAGAGTTTAACAGCATGTCTGAATTCAGAATTATCTACAGCACAACTCCAAATGCTTGTAAAATAGTTGTAAAAATGATCCTCTCTCACTAACTTTTCTTCATGTTTGTAAGAAGGCATAGATTCAGTGGTTACACGACAAGTAGATTCTCCTTTCCATGGTGTACACCAGAAGACAAGGTGCAGCCTAGTTGTACACAACCCCAAATTCAATGAAGATCTATGTTTAACTGTAGGACAGAAGGTAATTACTTTGTGCAAAGATCATTCTGTTCACTGTGTTTTCTTAAATTTAGATGGACCACATTGTATCTATGATTTCTAGAAAGAGCAGTGAGTAAGGGCACAAAACAGTATTTGTTTTGAAAAAGAAGACAAAATATTCTAGATGTGCACTCAAAATCTAGAGATCTCCAGAAACCTTCATTTGCTGTTAGGACAGTAAAATGTCATCGGGTGTTAAAAGACTATTTGGAAAAATGTAAATAGCTTTTTTTAATTTGGGTTTTCCCCCATGACTGACGCAAATGCAAACCTAGGAAAACTGAACTGCTGCTTGGCTTGTGTGTATTGCTGAGGGACAAAATACAAAGAAGAACTGTTAAAAGACAAATACTAAGTTGCCTACAGGAAGCTTTAATTAACGAAGAAAATAAGTGAAAAGACTATGAAATATCTGTAAGTTAATTCCCTGTCTCAAATTAATTTTGCACACATGTAGCTCCAAGACTACTGAGACTAAGACCTTTTCAGCCCTGGTGTACAACACCAAATGTACAAACACTTTCACCACACAGTAACAGCCTAAGAATTTGTACCAATTTTCCTGACTTTATTCGTCCATCTGAGAATAAATGAATAGTTTTTGTAAGAGAAAAAGCAGTATCATAATTTAAGTTTCAACGTAAATATGGAAACACATTTTTATAGGCTAAACATTTGTTCACTAATAACATTATTATACAACTGTTTTCTGTTCCTAGCCTGGATTATTACTGAAGTATAAGAACCACAGGCAAGGAGATGCAAAAAGGCATGTTGGTTTAAGCTTTTCATTCAGAATTCCTTCAGTAAGGAAACATGTCTTCCTTACAATTCCAATGAAGTGTCATGAAAATCAGGTTGTCAGCTTAAGCAGGGAAAGATCCATTTCATTTACATATGTGCACTTATTCCCATACTTCAAATTAAGCAGTATAACAGCATAAGAACTTTGGTAAGTTTCTTTTTATACACAGTCTTATCTTGAATGTGAGCTCTGCCTCACTGGACCCTCCTGCTTTAAACAGAAATTATCCCAATATGCAGAATCCTCAGGTGCGACTGGAATACCAGATGCAACTAAATCTTCAAAAGTCAATAAAGTAAATTGTGGTTGGTTAGGCTCCATGGAATGGACCTAAAGAAAACACATATTAGCATAACATGAATCAATAAATATTAATTTTCTTCCTGTAAAATCCTCTGCCATGTTTAAACTAATCATTGCTTACTGAAGAAGAAAGAAAACATTCTACATTTGAGATTAATGTCACTTCCTCTCATTTAGGTTACACAGTAACTATTAGAAGAATGTAACAGGCCACACAGAAAAACTGAGTTTTTAGTTGAAACACAATTCACAAAAGTGATGGCACAAGGGCTATAGAATGCTGCAAGTATGACAGAATGACTGTTTAATTCCAGTAAAAAAGAAAAAGACCAGTATCAAACAAAATGTACTTCATTCGTCAGCAGATATGATTATTTCAGACAATTGTGTGAGGATTTATTCCACGAGGTGTGCCTATCTGTACTCTTTTTAATACCAGTAGTCACTGATGTTTTGCATGTTTCTCTCAGATACAAATGCTACTTAAAAACTAAAGTGATCACAATCAACCTGCAATTCCCCACGTTAAATCCAATTAAATGTGGACTGAGATATTAGAGATGACAGTGTCATGGTCTCCATGTTTCTTTCATCACTCCAAGAAAAACAAGTCACATTTCAAAGAAGAAAAATATTTTGGTTTTTTTTCAGCACACTACTGTGCAGCTCCTGTATACCTCTCCAAATGTAATTGTTTCCAGACAGCAGGGCAGACAGTACAGCTTGCATGAATCAAATATAAATATAGCTGATTCTTCTAAATGGGCATTTGCTCGAGTTTATGTTTAATATTCCATAAAATTCAGTAGGGCTCTCTGCAGTGGTGCTACTCAGTACATCAGACAAACTGACTCATTTTTGATGAGCCTGTCAGGGTCTCTCTGTGTGGCACTACAACCCTCTGGTGTTTCAGCCACTCCTCCCAGTTTGGTGTCCCCAGCAGACCTGCTGAGGGTGCACTGCACCATCATCCAGTTCATTAATGAAGCTGCCACACAGCACGGGACCCTGCACTGAGCCCTGGGCACAGCACTGCTCACTGGCCTCCAACCAGACTTGGCAGCACTATCACCACACCCTGGGCCCAAACGTTAAGCCAGTTTCCAATACACCTCACTGTCTGCTGATCCAGTACTCAGCATTTTTTTAGGAGGATCTTATGAGAGACAGTGCCAGAGACAGAATGTACTGAGGCACAGGTAGACAATTGCCCACTGCTCTAACCTCATCTACCAGGCCAGTCATTTCATTGCAGAAATTTACCAAGTTGGTCAAGCATGACTTTCTCTTGGCTAAGCTATGCTGACTGGTCCTGATGATTTCTTTGTCCTTGCTGTGCTTGGAAATGGTGCTCAGAATTAACTTTTCCAAACACCTTTCCAACCATCCTGGTAAAGCTGTCAGATTTGCAGTTGCCTGGGTCCTCCTTCTTCCATGTTTTCTTCCAGTCTTTGGGCCCTTCTCCTAGTCCCCAGGATCAACCAAAGATTATTGAGAAGGGCCTTGCAATGCCAGCTATATCCCATAAACATTCACTGACTTACACTCACCCAGTTTGCTCAAGCATTCCTTGACCTAATCCTCTTCCTCCAAGAACACATTTTCCTTGCTCCTTCCTCTTTCAATCCCTGCAACCTGGGATTCCTGATGGCCAGTCTTGCTAATAAATACTGACACAAAGGTGGCATTCAGCACCTCAGCCTCTTTCAACCTTTGTCTTGTTCAGCAAAACCCTTCCCTCTGGCTTCTTGGCACTTACAGAAGTGCCTCTTGTTGCATTGAACATCCCTGTTCAGATTAAATTCTATTTGGGCTTTAGCTTTTCTAACTTCATCCCTGGCTGCTCAAATAATATTTCTGTATCCTTCTCATGTTACCCATTCTTGCTCCCACCCTCTGTATGCTTCCCTTTCTATGTCCAAGTTCGGCTAGAAGCTCCCTGCTCAGCCATGCAGACCTTCTGGCCTTTTTGTCTGATTTCCTATGCAGTGAGATAAAATTCTCTTGAGAGTGGAGGAGATGATCCTTTAATGTTAAGCAGCTTTCTTGGGCTCAGCTTTCCTCTGAGGCCTTATCCCACAGGACCCCTCTCTGTCCTTTGAAGAGTAGAAAGTTTGCTATCCTCATGTTAAGGGGTATGTGCCCTCCTCACTGCCCCAGGATCCTGAACTCTACCATCTCATGCTCTTGGAACCCTGCAGCCACAGACAGATCTCTGACTCATCATGTTTATTCCTCATCCTGAGTGCACTAGTGTACAGGCACTTCAGAGGCACTCCAGCACGTTGAGTTCCAGGAGAAGAGTTGGGGAATTTGTTTGTAATTGTGCCTTGTAGACCCTTCCCTGCTTATATCCGAGTGTTGGAGGTGACTCAGTCCAAGGTCAATTTTGAGGATATTGTTATCCCTTTCTGTCACATTGATGAAGGTAGGTCAGTAAACAGGCAAAAAGCAAAAATTCTCCACTTCAGTATGTGAGCAGTAGGCTACTATTAGGAATAATGCAGAAACAAAGAAATGGTTTGTGCTTGTTGTACGACACAGAAGAACTCTTAGCTGTCAATGCAGACTGAAAGTGAAAAAGATTGAGATGCACCTCACTTTATGTCCTTACACAAGTGACATGGTGTTGAAACATTTCTGTTCATCTGACAATTTGGAGATATGGTAAAGCTGCAGGAATGGTGCCTAGAGCCATGCAAGTGACATTACAGATGCATAGTGAGTATGAATCAAGCCTCCGAGCTAAGTAGTTGTTAACAGATGTAGTTTGAACTTCAGCACATGCTTGTCTGAAGGAGGTGTGTCCTGACTGAACACATCACAACTCTTGTGAAGTACAGCAAGTGGTAGACAGAAGACACTTTATAACCTACCCAGGATTTATAAAGAATTTTAAACTCAGCCATCTTTTATTGAGACTAGGCTCAGATAAATGTCTAGCTCTAGGTTAAGAGCACAGATAAGTGTTCTGTTTCCTCAAGCATATAGCAGGCACTAGCATTTTGATAAAATTCTTGACACTAGAGATTTTTAATTACAGTTCATTGACATAACAATTGGTCTTTCCGGGGAATTGTAGGTACGTGCTATCATTTTGTGAAGAAAGCTGAAAATAGATGTTCTGCAAGCAGGCCATAACGAATTACTCCTGTGATTGCAGAGAGGGAACAGACACAAACACTGACATACTGAAACAACTGGGTAACATTTACACACACGTTAAGCTAGAATGAACAATTTTTTCTTTCCACACAAAAAGTGAAGGCAACTTTCATTTTCTCCATGTTCCTGTTAGGAGGCATAAAAAGGCACAATGCAACAGTACATAAATTTTCACTTAATTTCCTTACTGAGGAGTCTCAGAATGCTCTCTTGTTCTGCTTCAAATGACCTTTCTTCATTGAACTGAGATAATGAAATTCAGGTCATCATAAGTTTAGGTCAGTGGACAAGTAAGCCTCGAGACTCCTCTTGATGCAATGACTTTTCATCATAACCTTTGATATCATGGCTATTTTTCCTACAACACATTTAAGGTAAATGACCATGATGGTGAAGGTCTATATTTAAAAATCCTGCCTTCCTGCAGAATACTTGGTAATTATCTTTCAAAATAACGGCCACCTTCTTTTTTTCATCTAAGACTTAGAATTATCAGTATTTCTGTCAGAAGGATAATGTGCAATCCCACCAGGAACTTAAGTATGTCCCGCCAAAAAGAATGCACATAATTTTGAAAAAATATTTGTCCACTGATTTAACACAGTAAATCATCAAAGGGAGTTTAACACCTATTTTTTTCAACCTAACCATTACTAGTTAAAAGGTCTGCCTCCCCCTTTGTTATCCAGGAACATGGACTTTGTTACCATGCTAGATAGTGTGCATTTCATGCTTTTATCCATTCCTATACTAATTTTCTTTTTTTTCTAGTTCCTGGTAGAATCTTTGCATCTAAATAACAGAAAACTAACCAATTTTCTTGTGAGCAACCAGAACACCAGAGAAAAATCTAGCAATTTGTCATACTCTAATTTGTCTGACTGTCTGGCTGTTTTGGCTACAACTTGCCAGTCTGCCTGTCCCTAAAATTTGACTTTTATTGCTATTTTCACAACTGAGGTCTTTTTTAAATTACACAGAACATCATGAAAAGCTTTTAAGTAGCTTTTCTCTTTCTCTCAATTGAGACACCACATGGAATGAAGACTAACACTGCTGTTCTTCCCATCTGTTGGTTGTTTTTGCTTGTCTCAAGGGTTGTCTTGTCATAATGGTGTTTGAGTGTGTATCTGCTCAGGGATGCATGCACTGACAATCCCCCACTAAAATCAACTTGGTGAGGTGTCATACAAGTTTAGCAGTCCAGATTGGTACACTGTTTCCATTTCCCTCTGTGAAAACCATCTTTCCCACATGAGTACTAGCAGGCTGTGATAAAAATAACTTAATCTTCTCTTGAATGAACACACTGAATACATACATTACAGTCTTGACATTATCTGTTGCTCTCTTCTGAAACTATTTCTCCTTCACAGACTTTTTCTGAAATAGGCACAACAGAACTAGAGGAAACACTTCAGCAATACTGCTTGGTTCTGGTTAATACTGTGCCTAAGTAAAGTCTTCTTCTTGGCCCTGTATATGAGATGACACACTTTTAGCTACAGCATGAGTTTATACTCAAGTGATCACCAAGACATGAAACTACTACACAATTCCTTACATCAGAATCCTTCTGTACAGCTCCCTCCTGTTTCCCAAGTGCCACTGCAACATGATGATGGCCATCCAAGCGGGTTTCCTAGTAACGATGAAAAATGGCAACGTAAATGCATTTTCTTTACTGTTTTCAGAGTATAGAATAGACTATGTAAGTGTTTAGAATATGGTTCAGAACAATAGCATAAGATAATTTAAAATACTTTAAAATAATGACATTCAAAAAGCAATAGTACTTTTTAGCAGTTTTGTTGGAGAGCTCAATGATGCAGACACATTAAAATGTTCACAGGGCTGAGGACAGATTACTATAGGTTACCATCACCTTATCCATTTGTAGATATTTGTATTCAAGTCTGTGACCTGAGCATTCCTTTACCAGTCCCTTCTAAGTCCCAAACCATATAACCCATCTTAGGTATCCTTTTCCAGTGAGATGAGCTGTGAACCTTTAAAGGTATTCTGAAAAACAATGATGCCAGTATAAACCTAAACCAATGACTCTCTCCCTCTTGGTTTCAGACAGAATGTAAGAGCACTTTAAATTCCTGACATAGTCTGAGCAGTGCTATGTGTAAATACCAATCAACATTTCTAGATGTAGAACTATATATTTAGTAATAATTTTCACCTATATAATCGCTTGTTTTGAGAGTGTTTTCTTCTAGAAAGACTAAAAATGTAGCCTAAAAAATTTCAGAAAAAAGAATCCCAAAGACTTTTACTGTTTCTTGAATAATGTTTATTCTATAGCCACGCCATAATTCCATTAACTTTTTAAAAATATATATGTCTAAAGGGAGGAAATAAAATTTTCCCTGCTTCTTTATTCAAAAGTTTTTACAGAGTTTCTGCACACTTTCTAAAGGAGAAATCAAGATTAACAAGAATTTTATCTAGGAAAGTGATCAATTTTGATATTGCCATTAATCTGAAAATTAGAAAGTCATTGGGATATTTTCCTGGGGCATAAGACTAAATCTCCAGTTTTGGCTTCCTTGGGAAATATTCCAACTGCACTATATTATATAAAGAAAGCACCCTGATCTCCTCCTATTTCCTCTAGCAGGTTGTTGCTTGCCTCATTTTTATCCCCTTTTAATCTAAGCAAAATGGCTTTTAGAACAATGGTGACAGGGTGCATCAGGCTTTTCTACAGGTCATCTACTATACAGGATTTTCAAAGGCTTCAGTTGCCAGGATACCACTTCTGTGATTCCAAACCAGCCCTGTATGCATATGTATATATATATATATATATATATATATATATATATATATATATATACACATATACATATATATATATACACACATACATAAAAAGGTGCCAAGCTGCTCAGCTCAGCTCACCCAAGGCAGCAGCTGCTCCAGTGGTGTGTAGCACCAGTACAACCATAAAGCTGGGGGACGTTTCTGGCAAATGTGGGTGCCTTGGCTGAGAGGTGCTGGGGAGGAACTAGAACTGTGCTTTTACTCTGATCTCTTCAGCACCTAAACTGTGCCCATTTGGCAGCTTTAGCAGTGAACTTTAGAACCCTCACCTACTTACAATAAACCCTATCAAGCTCATGTTGTCATACCTTTCTGCAAAGTGCTAGTAAGAAAATGAATATTTCAATTCTGTCTAGATTTAGAAAATTACTTCATATAAGAAACACTAATAAACCTACTCCAAGAGCTATAAATCTTCTTCTTACGGGGTATTTTACAGGGTTTTCCACTCCTTTACTAGGATGTAAAACTGCAAGTAGTCAAGCATAAAGAATGCTATCTCAGAGGCAACCACTTTTTACTCAGTATGCACATTTTTGTAACTTCCTCAAAAACAAGAAAGACTATGAATATTAGATGCTTTATCGGGTGTTGCTAAACCATTTCTATAGCTCTGGGGTGGCAGTGGTTTGTGCTTTTCTATATGGAAAAATTACTATATCACCTTTTTAATCGCTTCATTTACCACCTTTCCTTCATTTTTTTTGCATATCCAGGAGGTCAAAGACAGATCAGAACAGAGGGCACAGTACAGCACATTCAGCAGTGGCTTATACCTGTAATCAGAAGTCTGCAAACAGTTTTAAGCACCGAATTTTCTTTTTATGAAGCCAACTTATATTACTGTTTGTTTGTTCAACTAAAAACGTATTATATAGATAGTATATAAAAAATAATATTTTTTTCAGTTCAAAGCTGCATTTAACAGGCAGTGACTGTTTAGACAGACCTTCCCTGCAGAGACCCTGTCCAATGAACAGTGAATGGAAAAGGTTCCATTTCATTTATTTCATGTATCCTCTGTGGTCAAAAGAGAGCTTTCAGCATCTTACAATAAAACAAACTACACCCTTCATCTATCTTTGCTGTTTGAGAGCTATGCAAATCTAAATGAAATACAGAAAGGAACATATTTTCTGGCATTTAATAGTGGCCAGCTAAAACCTTAAGCAATGGAATTAATGAAACATACTGAAACTATAAAAAACAGTGGATCAGCTTGCTTCCCTGGAGGTATTGCTATACCAGCTTATAAAATTAGTATCTGAAATGGAAATAGATGATTAAACAAAAAGAAGACAATCGTATAGAATTCCTTCAGGGTAGAGAGCTTGTTTTTGTTAAGATTCCTCTCTATAAACCAGAAAACATACAATGGACTGTTTTTGTCTGCACAGAACAAAAGTGTTACTAGAGCACACAGAGATTTACAATGATCTCATTTCAAAGACTCGGCAGAATGATGTGTCTGGAATTCAAATCATTATGAATTCACTCAACAACTCAGACAGCTTAGGATGAATCTGTACCTTCCCAGCCAGCAGAACTGACTGATTAGCGAATCCAGTTGGATTAGCTAGTCTTAGAAATAAAAGTTTCTAGTCTTACTTATTCCTGACAATGCAACAGGATTAACTTCTCTTACTGAGGGTGAAAGATGCCAATCACAGTAGCACACCGGCAATTACTAAATATGTTTCAAATTGACCCAGGCAATCTCTCATTGAAATTCATGTTCTGGAAGTAATCTATTTGCATATAAACAAACTAAGGAAATATTTGTTGTGAAAAAATACAAAAAGTTATTTGTGCAACAGCAGTCCTCCCAGGTGATTCTTAATCCCATAGTGAAGTTTAGGATAAATCATGTGCTTCCTATATAAAATAATTGCATCCAAAATCGAGACAGGTATGAAAACAGAAATGTCTTATTTATGATTCTTCTTTAATATCTATTTCAGTAAGTGTTATCCAGTTATTCTTCCTGATCAATTGTATATAGTTGAGACCATTAAAGAAAGGGTCAGGAATACATTTAACATTTTGCAAATTACTAACTAGGAATTTATTTTTCGTAGTCTCATAGAATAACTTACATTGGAAGGGACCTCAAAGATCATGTCATTCCAATCCCCCTGCCTTGGAAAGTGTCCCAGTCCACTAGATTAGGTTGCTCAGGCCCCCATCCAATCTAGCCTTACACATTTCCACGGATGGAACACCCACAAGTTCTCTGGGTGTTCTCTGTTCCTGTGCCAATATAGTTCTAGCACCAATATATTTTTCCATATATAAGATCTGCCACAAATCTATCTTCTAAACCTACATTGATCTTCTTAAATGATAGAACTTGTCATAACTGTTTTCAATCAGCTTCTTTCATTTTTACTAGAATGAATTACTACTTCATTCTTGTCAGAGTAGTAGGCAGCTCATACCTCACTGGCAAGGCACTATGAGAAGCTGAAGTCCTTGACTTTATTTCAGTGTGTTAACAGCACTAGTCTCATCCTACATTCAAAAGACAGCACTATGCCAGCTATTAAGAAGAAAATTAACTGTACCAGAGATGAAACTAGGACAATTGTCCAAGTTTATTTTCTTCAAAGGAAGTAAATGGAGCATATAGAATTACCCAGAAAAATAATAATAGTCATCATCATCATAATGACTCCATCCTAAATCAACACCCTAACAAAATACTGTTATCACTCTTCACTGGGCTAGCTGTCTTTTAGTTATTACTAAACCAAGTTACCTTCTTAAAATGTCTATACCTTCTTATACTGTCTATATGAATAAAGCATATTCAACACATACAGCAGACATATCTCAAAATTAAATTGATGCTTTTAAATTAAGCTTTTTTCCCTGCAACTCCTTCCAAAACAGCTGAAAGGAATCTGTGTAACAAACTCTAGAGTAATATACGAAAACAAGACCTTAAAGCTAGATCCATCCATCAAGATCAACTAAGAGGCTGTTTCTGATCAACTGCCTTCCATTCAAGCCAAAAAATGCGGGGAGTGAATCCGGGCAAAGATATCTCAAGCAAAACTAAACCCTCAGTAAAAGAACCACAATCAACGACATAACAAAGTAGTTAATTTGGTATTTACAATGAAATAAGAGAAACCTTTTTTCACTGTTCACAGAAAATTCTTTCTCCAATTTGAATTGGCTTTGCTCTGACTCTGAACAGTTATAGGGTGTCCAAATACTGTCAACTTTGATTTGTTCTGATTCATTAGTATTTCTCTTGACCTTTTAGTCATGACAAGTATAAAGTGGTGGATATTTTCCTGGTCTTCATGAATTTAAAGTTATCTTTTTCATATTACATGGTATTTTCTGAAGAAAGTTTCAGAATATTTTGTATCATTTTAATGGATAAAATCCCCTTTATTTCTCCCTTCCATTTTTAGTAAATTAGGTTCTCTTTAAAACTAAAATGAATCAATCAAAAATATGTGATAATTGAATTTTAAACAGTCTTGCTCCCTTTGATCATTTCCTTTCACTATATCTTAGTGAAATAATATAAAGATAAAGGCAGCTCTGAAATGTAAAAGTGAGATAATTATATTTTTTTATTTGATAGAGAAAGCTCCTTCAAGTAAACTTGGAACAACAGGGACCCTAAGGAAAAGACTGCATCAGTAATATGTAGTCTTACAGCTGACTTAATGTGTGCTCTTGGGTGACTCTTTCAGATTTCTCAAAATTAGTGTTTTCAGCTAAAAAGTTATTTCAAAAATCTGATGAGACAAAAAAAGACTTTTCTAAGTAAGAAAATGGACACAAAATTTAAAGAAACTTGGCAAGAGACAACAAAGTAAAGCAATGCTTGATTTTAGGCTCTCTGGATACTGGTAACTGAAAAACATTTTATTTATTTAATTTTAATGAATGTTGATATTTAAATGAAATTACATCCATCCCAGTTGAGCTTGTATTTAAAGGAAGCTTGACATTAAGCCCTTCCTTTGAAATACAAGAATTTGCCTCATTATAATGCTGTACTCATGGGAAGCAGGAGGGCAAGTGTGGAAGTGATGACATTCCTGAGACAAAAACTGCACAAATCTTTTAGTAGTAATTACTAAGTAATAAGGAAAATCCAAACAATTAAAAAGCATTTAAGTATCACAGGGAGCTACCTACATCATCATCTTCAGGCTATTTCTGTCAATCACCCACAGGCACATCAAAGACCAAAATGAGGAGTTCTAGAATTCAATGAAGACAGGCAGATGTTCCCTTGCCTATGGTACAGAGTAGTACAGAAAGCATTCTGGTACAAGATGTGTCACAGGATTTCCCAAGAACTTCCTTTGCCAGTGTAATTCCAACTAGTGAATTTCATGACATACTGACATTGTATACTATATAGGAATTGAGTAAGAGGACTGATTAATTATGCATAGACTTGCAAAGTAACACAAAACCAAAAGTGGATAGGAATGCTGAATGAAGAAATGAACTGTGAAGAAAGAAGCTTATACTCTGAAGTTAAACATTACTGGAACATTCATTCTTTCATAATACATGCACTGGGTACATATTTATATACTAAAGAAAATAAGCATACAGCAGAAATTTGTAATTTAGATAGCTCTACTGGAACAGTTGTCTCCAACTATATAGGTATTTTCAAAATGCAAATACGTGTTCGAAACTGGATAATCTTACTGAAAAGTGCACTTGACAGTTTATTCCATTTTTTGCTTTGTTTAAAGTGATTGAGTAAACATGCCTGTGGGGTGTAGAGAAATGGGATTGTGATTAAATTTTTTTTAAAGCTTTTTTTTTTTTTGTAATTAAATAACTTAAGGTCATTATGAATCAGAATAATTTAGGCTGGAAAACACTTTTAACTGTCTTTAAAAATCCAACTGTTAACTCAGCACTGCCAGGTCCACAGGTAAACTATGTCCCTATATCCTTTAAACTACGTGAGATGATACTGGTAATTTCTTACCAAATCTGAAAGGTTAGATGTTTTAGTGGTAAGCCTCAGTAACTTTGAAAAAGGAAAACAAAACCCCAAACCCCAAGACTCAGACTACTGAGACCAACAATTCTAGAGCAACTGAAGAACTTTAAAATCTTAGACCTGTTCAAGAAATCAGGTCTGAATATATTTCTGTAAACTTTCTTCTCAGAGTGCAGGAAATATAGGTCAGGCACAGAAAAAATAAAAACACATTACAATGAATCCATCTATGGGGTGTCCTTGCAATCATAAAAAACCCCTTTAAAATGCTGCAGATTTGTATCCTAAGTTTTGATTAATATAAGCTCAATGGGGTTATACAGAATAAAGATGTGAAGCTGCAATTAAAAAAAAAAAAAAATCAAACATGCAATGCAACCATAAGGAGTTGAGACTGCCTATCACTAGTGAAAACATGTTCTTTACCTCAAATGTCCACTCCTCTTCTTTTTCTCCATCCAGAAGCATTTTTGTCTCCTTATACACCTTCCCTATTTCCAGTTGCAATGGAGACACATTAAATTCAATTCTTTGTAAGTTAAAGCCAATTCCAACTCCAATGGCCTTTAAGAAGCTTTCTTTCAAGGCCTAAAAGACACAAAAAATGTATTTTATTTATATTGGCCACAAACTGTTTTTTAAACTCCTATTTACTGTTCTATAAACATTACTTCTGAGCACACATTGATGACAAAGTAAATTTAAGACTTATCCTATTGTAAATGTGAGGGTAGACTAATGAAATTATCAAGAGAAAAAGTTATCATCATAGTTTATACCCAGCCTAACCTGCTGCATTAAAATAAACATGCAACTGAAATTACTCTGTGGCACATAGAGATATGAATGCTTTACCTTGTTCTGGCTATGTGTTTAAAACCACTAATAAATCCCATTGGAAATGTCTGCCGTACTATGGTTCTCAAAGTTATTCTGATATTAAAATAATCACTGAAATATAAAGTCTAAGAATATCTTCACATGAAATGGTACCAGGTACCACCAGGAGAGTTTAGACTGGATAACAGGAGAAACTTCTTTGTCAAATGGCATTTCAAGCACTCAAACAAGCTGCCCAGAGAAGTGGTTGAGTCACCCTGAAATTCTTTAAAATATGGGTAGAGGCAGTGCTTAGGGACGTAGTTTAGTAGTGGATGTGATGATCTTAGATGTTGTTTCCAACCTAAACCATTCTATGCAACTACAAAAAGATAACATTATTTTACTATAATGAAAATAATAAATTGTATCAGAAAAGAATGTGAACATTTGCAGACTTTAAATAGGAAAAGAAGTATTACCCAGTGCCGATAAAACATATCCAGCTGCCTCCATTCATTACTCATAGACTTGATTACATCCCACTCCGTTTCAGTAAACTGTCGCTTCATTATGTGAAAGAAATTTGGAATTGAGCTACTACCTATAAATCAGACAGAGATATTTACAGAAATTTTAATGGAGTAGTAATAATAAGCAAACGAACTGCCTCACATTTTTGCTCAGGAAAAAACTCATGACAAAAAATAATTTATCAACCAACTCTGCTCTACCATTTCAATTTATATAGCCTCAAAGCAGTGAGATGATGATTGTTCAGGATGCAGTATTTCCAGCACTCTCTAAAAGGCAAAGTACTTAACCAATATTGATTTTATATAAACATAAAAAAAATATATTCAACTACAGTCTCTGGCATCTGACAGTTTGATCTAGTAACATTTTATAAAACAGCATGCTGTTTGTCAAAATTTATCAAGCTATTTTGCCTCCCGCCCTTGGATGCGGGGATACAAAAGAAACACTTTTCTAAGCACAGTCTTCTGAATTTATCACGCACATATTAAGCTATTTGGATTGGATTTACTTTGGAAGAAAAATGGGGGTAGAGAGGTGCTCATAATAACAGTAAGAAATATACCAATGGAAAAAAAATCCTCCAAAAAAACGAGCCTCAAACTACCAAAGCTTCAAATACTTTTATTAAATTTAAGCTTCCTCTAAAAATAATCACAAGTGTGTGACACTGCAGCAGTTTTTTGAGGGCTCCACCACTTTTCCCCACTAGTCTAAACTGACCTTGTAGAAGACACTACAGCATATGGTTATATTCATCAATGGCATTTCTATAGTACATTGACATCTACGGACCTTGTCACAAGCTTGGCTACCCATATGTTAATCAGCATCCCATGCAAGCATCCAAGTCCAACTGGGCTTACAGGTGGCTTAAAGAGACAATGGCAGAAAACAACCTATTTTCTTTAGTAGGGATAATAAAAATCTTGAGAGACACAATTCCACATATGGAGACAATTTCTTTGATAGGTTACTCAATGTTCTTACTAAAAATAAAACATTAGTCATATTTAATCCAAAACATTTTCCCCCTCCCAATACCATGCAACTTTGAAGAACCCATTCACTAAACAATTGCTTAAGATTCAGATTCTAACTGTAGGTGTGCCAGTAATCCTTTGAGTTGACTGGGCAAGGAACTTTGCTTTTCTACACTCATGTTCCCCATCCTAAACCAGGCATAAAGGACTTAAGCCTTCTCTATAGAGTGGTTGTCTTCTACAGATATCTAAACAGTAAATAAAAGCAAGAATTGGAAGCAGTAGTAACTGATCTGAACAAACTAATGTTACACTAAATCACACATTCAGGTTTTCTCACAGTTTTGAAACCATTCTGCAAAGTGTTACCAGACATACACATCCCACAAGACATGGCAGTGACATTTCAGAGACGCTCTCAATTGTCAAAGTAAACATCTTAAGACAGAATTTTGTTGACAGTTGCAGCACTAAGCTAATGGAATGATACAGAACAATCTAAGGACAGGACTAACTTTCCTCTGGAGAAAATAACAGCAGAAGAAAAAAGCAACCACAATGTTAAGTATGCTTTGATGAATGACCCAAGGCAAATTCCATATCCATCTACTTATACAATCCAACTTACCTGAAATAATAAAAAATAAGAAAATACATCGTTGAACTTGGAGAGAGGTATTTTCTTTCATCCCTGTGTTGGTATGGCCAATTTTACAGTCAAATAAACTACATTAATAACTACAAATAACTACATTAATACTTGCTCAAAACAATCCCCTTTTTTTCCCCCCTTTCTCTCTTTCCTTAAGTATTTAAGACAACAGTGGTGAGGCTCCAGCCTGTTCTTGTGATTCAAACTACAAAACATTCCAGAATGTCCTGGTGTACCCTTCTTGCTCTATCACTTTCAGAGAGTTTGCCTCCTTTCAATAACCAGGACTACCAGAGAAAAGCACCCAAGACTATTCACACTATGCTACCTTCAGCATGTAGAGGCATATAAAGGCTCTTGCATTGTCAGCCCTGCCATCCCAACTTTATCACACGTGGTGAATATACTCGAATGCTTTAACCATTTAGTACACCAAGTGCATAGCAAACCCACATGGTACTGCTTTCTTCCTCATTGTCCACCCCTTTTCTTGTCCTAGAGGTTTCTTCAACTGTTCAGCTACCCTTCTGAACACTCATGCTCAAATTCACACAGTATTTCCCCCTCCACTCCCACTGTCTGTCACATGCCTCCTCTGAAAAGCTCAGGCACCACTTTGTCCCTAAGTGCACTCACTCCCTGTTTCCTCAAGGCAGTACAGCTGCTTTGCCCTGGGGAACAGATCAGAGGACTTAGGACTACTGTTCTCCACCAGTAACTTGCAGTACCACAGCCTGCCTAATCCATTTCCCCATATTTGCTTCAGTATCAGAGAAAGACAGGTTCACAGAACCATGGGGAAAATGTAGGTTGAAAAGGACCTTTGCAGACCACCTGGTCTAACCTTCTGTTGAAAAACAGAGCCTTATATTGGGTTACCCAGGGCCCTGTCAAGCAGAGTCACCCCTTCTCTGGGAACCTAGTTGAATAATCTGCTGTTCTCATGGTGAAGACCTGTTTTATAGCGACAGAACTCCCCCTGAAGCAACCTGAGCCTGCTGCCTTTTGCCCTGCTCCTGTGCACCCTCATGAAGACAACGATGTACATCCTCTCTGCAGCTACATTTCAGGGAGGCTGTGATCGGATTCCCCTCTTCAGAACTTTCATCTCTTCAGGTTCAACAAACCCAGTGCCATCAGCATTTGTAAGTCAGGCTCTCCAACCCTCTAAGTCACCTTGGTGGCCCTTCACTAAACACCCTTCGATTTTCCCATGTCTCTCATGACATAGAAGATATGACAAGACTACAAGCAGCAGAAAGTTTCTGTTTAAATGCTATGTTTTTTGCTCTTAGTTGGATTAAAAAAAAAAAAAAAAAGCCTCAAGTGTACTTGCCACAATTTATAAAAAACTTCCTTTGAAAGAACAGGAACAAGTCCATATAGCAATTAATTACTTGGTTTTAAATTTACATTTCTAAAGTAGCTCCCATTTGTCAACTTGTTTCAGAAATAAACTTACTTCTTAAGTAAGTACTTCCTACTTGCCTATGTCAGGAAATAGAGCTCTTCCAAATAACAAACTAACTCCTTTTAATACTGAGCATTAATCATATTGCCCTCTCTGATTTTAAAATACATTCCTTGTTAATAAACTTTAAAGTACATTAGCTCCTTAAGAATATAAACTGAACAATCTTTCAAAAAGTGCATTCTAGTAATTAAAAATGAAATCTAAACCCAAAGTTAAGTTTCTTTCAAAAAATTTTAAAAATTAAATTAAAAGCACACAACACCCTGGAAATTTCAGGAAGAGTAAGGAGAGGAAATAGTAAGTGATACTGGAAAAAAGATGTCAATATTAAGCCTGGAAAGTAAATATGCTATATGCAGATAAGTGTGTGTATTCATATGTGTCTGCATTTTGGATTTTTTGCATGAGCTATTTACATTAATACATAATGCCATGTTTTCCGCTGCAATGGCAACTGTGTTTTTGTTAAATTTTTTTAAAGACTAGGCAAAAAAATCTTCTTTGCATTTTCCCTGAAGAGTAGTAATACCACAGACCAGATGTAAAAGACTGATTTTAAAAAGAGGCAGGAGAGAAGAATAAGAAGACAGACTATATTCTCTAGTCCTGTTTGCAAATGCACTGTAGAAATAGTATGTAAATACAGTGTAATTTCTCCCCATTTTTCTACTTGCTAAAGAATCCCAACAAGCTGCATTCATAGGAAGATAAAGGCAATCAGAATTAAGATCCATGTAAAGTATGATGCTATTAATAAGGGGAAATTACTACCCATAAGGCTAATACAGAAATCTTCATATTTTTTACATTTTTACAAACATCAGGTTAATCATAAGTCAGCTTTGGTAATACAGTGCACATTTCACAAAGGCAGGGTAGAAACTTGTAGCAAAAATTATTAGAACTATGTCATGCATTCTCAAAACCAGAGAGAAGAGTAGATAACTGAACATCTTCACTTCAGGTTTTATGAGTTTACACTCTTCAACTTGGTTTGGTCAGATACAAACAAACTAGCTTATAAAGCTACTACTGCCAGCTCATTGATCAACTAATCTCCTGAAAAAACACAACAAATAAACAAAACCAAACCCCAAACAAACACTTAAAACAAAAATACAAAACAAACTGCAGAATGCAAACAGCCTCTTCACCAATTTTAACTGCATAAAAGAAACATGCATAAAAGGTCAGTGATCAAGAACTAATCAATCTAATCAATACAATCAGTTCACTTTCAGATGGAAAACAGGTAAAGTGGCAGTGTGACACATCATACACAGCAAAATTAACAACCGAAGCATGAACAGCTCAATCTCAATCCACCTAATAATGTGAAACACAAAATAGCTGTGAAATTTATAAACTAACTGTATTAGATGGATGTTTCAAGTCCTGGACTGGATTGGCTGACAATCCTTTTGGTGTAGGACCATATTTAATCACATTTTACTGTCTCTAAAGGAAACCAAAATAACCTGATACAGAGAAAACATTTCTTCTGCAACAGATGCCCAAGCCCTGATTGTTTATTAATACCTACTAACCCCTGTACAGATATTTAGAAACAACACAAGGCAAATAATTAGTGAGACAAATTACTAACTTACAAGAACCAGATAGAACATTAACAATCCATGTTTTTTTCAATCTACTAGCTCACACAGCTTTTGTGTGAATTGGAAATTGGATTTACATTCTCTGACCTCCACACTTCCTGTCAGTATCCAGCAATTCTCCCAATTATGTGTGTGTGAAACATCCATTCTCATGTTAATATTGATGTGTTTTATCTCGGCACACCCCAGAGAAGCACTAACTCAAAAATGCCTGAGAATTTGACATTGCCGCCTACAAATTACTCAACGTTTTCCAGACTGTAAAAATGGGAAAGTCATAAAGAGGCTGAAGTAATTTGATAATGTTTGATATTTTCTCTGCAGATAGCATCATAAAAT